TTATTAGTTATACAGATATTAAGGCAATCAAACACATACTGTGTGCCACAACAAAACTGTAAAACAAATAATTATGGCACACTTCAGAAGCAGAGACATCAATTCTGCCAATACATGGGCACAGGCAGCAGTTAAGGGACACCCAAGTTGGTGCCAGTTTCATCAGCAAGTGCAAGGAAAGTTCTTGCCTATGCATTAGGATGTATACTCCCTTTCACAAGTCCCAGAAACATTTATATCACTGCATGACTGCTGAGGATCTTCTGTCCTTGCTGTCAGCTCTACATACAAAGGTCTCCTACTCTCACAGCTGCAGGTTTCCAGGCAGGAGTACCCAATTCCCAAGGAGAGCTAGCTTGAAAACAGACCGAGGGAAGAATGACAATGCCAACTGCACCATTTATTGTCTCCTGAGTTAATAAGGCTGCAGCCTAATTAAACCACTTCTTTTGAGCCTTACCATTCCTCGTGTGTGGCTGAGCAAATTCACCCTGCCTGCACTTGGAGACTGCAGACTTGCTGCAGTAATTTGGCCTGAAGTTCTTGCACACAGTGCACAGGACTGCAATATAAGCAAATACTAATAATGTAAATGGACACCTGTCTACTTGAAACGTTTTCAGATCTATTCAGCAAATAGTTTATAATCCCTTAGCCTAGAAATTAGTTGCATCACAGCATTCACTGAATCAAACAAGTAAGACACAAGTGTATCTATTTTTTTTAGGGTAAAGATCTACCTGCAACATACTCAGTGCTCTGGCCCTGAATCCTGCATAAGAATTTTTGTTCAGCACCTGGAATTTCAAGTCTTAAAATTTCCAGTCTTAAAGTTTCCAGTACGTTGCTCTGATGGTGGAAGAGGCCTACAGTAACTGTGGGATTTACAGACAACCTTTAAATGCAAAATTACAATTGTTATCTGGGTCTGAATTCTCTGTGAAGCTGGACATAACACCTTGAGTTTGTTACATCTGCACACAAATTCACAATTACAGCCAGAAGCCCCACTCAGCAGAACTACTTACCACAACATGCATAGCAGAAACTGCATATACAGCTGCTGGACTGGGCCTCGTCCTTGTAATGTGCCACCAGTGTGGGTGGAGCTCTGGCAATAAACCTGTATATATGACCCCTGTACCTCAGCTTGACTTCAGTATCTCCAAATTCCTCTTTGCAAAACAAATCACATCAACCATGGCTGCATTTAGCAGACTGCAGTTCACAGCACAGTGTTTTCGTTCCTCCTCGTAAGTTCTCTCTACAGATTAAATGCTGATGCACTGAACTGCTGCTCTTGGATGAAGTGGGCAGGTGTAATTTGATTAGTATAGATTCTGGAATTGGTAAGTACTGTATCAGTATCCTCCCTAGAAAATAGGTGACATGTCATGGGATATTAAGTATGGCCATTTAATGTAAAAACTCAGATAATACATGAGTTAAATGGAGAAAATGAGAGAAAGCTTTTAAGCATTCTCCCAAGATAGATTGCAGAATAATATTATTGTACACGCAAGTAGTGCTGATTGACACAGTCAGAAGGCCATTATACTAGTATGGTATAAAATCATTATAGCAAAAAGCATTTCAGAGCTGCAGAGTGATAGCAGCAACATATAATGAATTATCAATAAAGAAGTGGTGATTCAGTGACATTACATCTGAATAGAAAGCTTCCTGTTATATAATTTAAAGCTGCCAGCCTGACAAGTGACTTGAATATCCAATTCTTTCTCCAGGTGTATGAATCATCCCTCTCTTAATTTTACCAGAGCCTGCAATTTTGTCGAGTAGACCAGAAACTAAGCTACGGTAAGCAGTGCTTTTAAATAAAGGTTGTTTGAGCAGCTTTCAACAAGGCAGCCTGTTATCTGCGAGACTCAGCCTTTGCGATGCAGGTATTAAATAAATATTTCTTCTTGTTCACAGCAAACAAGCACAAAGTATAGTCCCGCAGCAAACCGATGCCAGCAATGCTTTGCAGTAAGGCAAAATGTGAGCCCTTAAAGTTGGTGCAAAGCTCGTCTGAAGCCAAGTGGAGCGTGCTAGTTCAGTGTTGCAACATGATCTATGGGAGGATTAGGGCCTATGGGAAAATTAAGAGAGTCACCTTTTCCCTTCAGATGATTATTTAGTATTTGCAGTGTTAACAGAATACCTAAGCACTGGAAGTTTAAAAGTAATTAAATTTAATATATAGGGATTGAGGAGGATTCAGTTTGAGTGCTCTCAATATTGGAACCAAAAATATAATCAAACAACAAGACAAGCCAGGCAGCTGAAAATAATGCACGTGTGGTAAATAAGGGTATAATACTATTCAGAAAAAAAATACATCCACGGGGTTGAAAAACCCAACCATTTATAAGTTGAGTAGTTTTAGCCCTCCAACTGTTGAGGTCATGCCTATTTAAGATGCATATTCAGATTGATTTTTTTTTTTTTTTTTTTAAATAAATGGAGGTTAGGTCTTAGAAAGCCACCTCATTTCATA